TATTTTTAGGTAATAAGGTCTTAAATGAAAAACACCTTTAAGGAAACGAATATAATAGGCCGAGTTCCTACTTGGAACAACTAATTAATTTATGAATCCAGACCAATTTAGTTCGGATTTATTTATCAACCAATGAGCTCACCCTAGATTCGCTGATCACTTGGAGCGACTTTTTGTCATATCACTGTGTTGGTGTTGATAATTCTGATTTCTTTGAAATTTTTGATTTGGGTCCGAACCAGGCCTCCAGGACAACTGGCCCCGCTTCTACTAATTTGTTTATTTTGCGACTTAAGGTCTGCAAAGGATTATTTTTGTATTTTAATCATTCCCTCTCGTAATTTAGAGTAACTGTCGCCTTCAACTTTAGTGTTTTCATTTATGCCTTTTTGAAACATCTGTTGCTATTTGGCCTCAGATCACCAATGATTTGCCCATTGACTTTAATATTAATTCTCGTCTCTTAGACCGGCTCAAACTTTTCCCCAAATTTCCTTTGGGTAGAACGCTTTCTGCCACAGATGGAGCAACATGTGGCAAACTCTTGTCCAAAAGCATGTATGACTTTCACCATGAAAAACTTGAGATACACAAGCTGGAAGTAGAAATAATTGGTGTGCTGTGTCCTATATAGTGGTAAAACTTCAGGTATTAGCGAAAAACCCCTCTTATTTGCAAACTTGATGACCCTTTATTATACACGCTGCTGTATGGACAGTGACCTTTTTTGCTAAATTTTAAAAATCTTACTTGTTAAGTTCAATATTTGAGTTCTGTGACAAAATTGGACAAGTTGCAAACAAACTGCATAGAAAATACTCATAGTTTGGATTTTATTTTTCAAAAATATAATTATTTATTACAATGTCATGAAAAATGTACAAAATTTACACGTAGTATCTTGCAAAATGCCTATAACTTTCCACTCGTTACATAGCCAGACTCACAAGGAATATAATTTTAGAAACTTTACACAATATGCAAACAGAAAAATCACAAATCAGTTTCATTGACTGTAATATTAGAGATATATACTGAAACATGTTACTGACTGAATCAAATCTAATCTTTGGTTGCAGAACAAACACTACCTGAAATGGAGCAAAATTAACATTTTATTGTTCTAGAGTAACACATATGCAACAAACACCACAAATCATAGATTTTGATGAGATGGCATTTACACCTCTACGCCATTTCTTTATCAGGATGTAGTCCAATTGCCCAGAAATACCTCAGAATTTCAAGTTTGACTCTTAAACAAAAATTGTTAGAAATCACTTAAATGTGCAAAATAACTATTTGTTGGTGAAAAATATTATTGTTAGCTGTAACTATCATTTAACACGGGTGCAATTAAATCTCTCAAAACACATTTTAAAAAAACAGTGGGGTGGGGTGTTTACAGCATCCCTTTATGGAATGGCGGAGTGAAAAGCAAGAATTTAATATTTCAAACATGAGAAAAAAAATTATTGCCTGGTAACAGTGGCAAAATTGAGCCAACCCCTGTTTTGGACATTTTCGTCAAACCCATCTGCTGATCTGCTGTCCATTTTTAGCACAATGCTACCAATTTTCAATTTTCTGTTTGAAAGATGAGGCATTTTCTAAATCTGACAAACTTATAAATACCTTTGTCTAAAGATGTTTATTTTTTGTCAAAGTATATCCTTACCTGGATTTTAATACAACTGCAATAAATTGCAAATATGAAGATTTCAGGCATATGAATGAACACTGCGTGTTCGAATATTGCATTAATCTGTGTTTGGTTTACTAATAACTAATACAAAATTACAACAGTTTACTAAATTAATATGTTTTAAAACATCTTCAAATGTTAAGTCCATTTTAAAATTAGAATCAAATAGCTGATCAACGCTCACCCACCTTCTGAGACGGAACTGGGATGTAGTTATCTATGAATGTAATACGAATGCGTATTACATTGATGAAAGGTAATTTGATATTACACGATTCCTGTAACTGTCAGTATGTATTAAATCCAGTACATATACAGTTACGGGGCAATGATAAATCACGGAATTACGTTTTCCATAAAACGAAACAGTTTGATAATCAACCTCTACAGTGTAAATAATGCGTTTTATCACAAAAACTTTCAAATGATTTGATATTTGCCATTTTTCAAAAACGTTAGATACAATCTTATCTAAATAATAATAAATATTACCAAGTAATAGCTTTTGTGATCGAGCTGTTCATTTCTCCGTGGCTATTATTTACTTCCGTCTCATTTCCCATTTTCCCGCCGCAAAGGTTGACAGAGAATTCCTGATGATACAGGATTTAAGTTAAACCCACCACCTCCCCTAACTTCACCTATAAATTATTTATCTGTTAGAGATAAACTTATATTGGACCATTTTCCTACAATCCTTAATCTCAACACAAGAAAAGAACAATTAAAAATAAAAGACGTTTCTTTCCGAAAATTTAAATCGCTGAACGATGCTGAGCCGAGCTCTTCTCTGTGTTCATCAAAACAAGAGAGAGAGAGATGGGGTTTAAAGTCCACTCGACACAAACTAGGTCATTTCAGGACTAACATATTGTTTTTAATTTTATTTCAATAATTCGCTTGCGCATAGGGGTCTTTAGCAGTGGGAGGAAACCGGAGGACCCGGAGAAAATCCACGAGGTTGGAAAGGCGACCCTACTCCTTGTAACGTACAACCGGGGATTCAAAACCACGCCAGTCGACTCAATGACAGACTTTATGATACAACGCGCGCACGCTAACCATTCAGCCATCCAAACCCTTCTATCAAAACAAAATAGCACATACCAAATCAATGACGTCAATTCGAAAGCAGCATACTGTAATAAACGCCTTCAAAATAACAGTGATGATCTTGTACCAATCCGACCTGGTGCCCCATGGCTAAACAATGATAGCCAAGAGCTAAACGGGGTAAAGATCATACGAATCGAAAGCTTGTTTAGTACCTTGAGTCCAACAACCTCATTTACAGACCTCCAATGTGGATTTCGGTCCCAAAGGAGCACTCTTGATCATCTCGTTCGATTTGAAACGTTCGTCAGGGACGCTTTCATCCAGAAACAACATTTAGTTGCAATATTCTTCGATCTGGAGAAAGCTTATGATACTACATGGGAACATGGTATCATACGCGACCTCCATAACCTCGGCCTACGAGATCGCTTACCTATCTTCATTAAAAAATTTCCTGGAAGTGGGTCATAGGTTTAGGAGCATTTCGTACATCTCCAGCGGCTTAACATTGCCTGCTTAGCTTACTTTTGCCGTTCGCAGCTTAATCTTACCTTTATCTAATTTGTTAGGTTAACTTAGTGGCTATTTGGATTAATTTTAATTTACTCAATATGTTATAATGACTTTACCCGTTTTGTTAGCTGAGCCATGTTTAGCGTACCTTTGTCTTCATCTACTTTGTTAGCTCGACTTTATAACTTATAACTTAGTTTATTGTCGTTAGGAAATAATATTCAGAAATGAAATGAAATGTCAGAAATGAAATCCGCGTCCCCGTAAACATATATATATTGACACCAAACACTACTATTTAATAAAAATCTGGACAGGTCCCAATTCCCGCCAAAAATGGCTGCCATCTTGGTAATATCTTCATGAAGTGATGGGAAAAAATTTGAAATATCGTCATGACCTCTGTGAATACTAATACAGTGCCAAATCTCAGTTGATATGTCGATAACATTATAAGTAGGGTGAAAATAAAAAAAAATAAGTTGGAATATTATCGAAAATGGCTACCATCAGATAATGGTCTCCCATACTATGAAGACCTACTCAGAAAAAATGTCAACATTGTTGTTTTGTCATTAAACATCGAAACCTTCAAAATAAAGCTTATTCCACGATTTCTACCCGAAAAGCCGACGGATTTACATTAAGGGTCGGATTAATAGTCTTACTAAAATCTATAATGGCCCAAAGAGTATTAAAACCAGTGGACTTTATGGCCATATAAAATTCGTTTAATTATTCATTTTGCTTTTTGCGAGTGATTGGCTATCGAGTTTCTTTCTTTGCCAAGCGCATAATTCGGGGTTTTATCAAACCAATCCGAATTTTTTTGGAAAAGCACAGTATATAAAATGGGAAAATCAAGTTTCAGTGGATTTAGTTTTTTTTCATTAATATTTTCAAGGATAAAGGGTTATTTTTGTCAATAATAAAATGTCTTTATTTCCCGTGTAATTACGGCATGTTCTAAACCGTAGAGCATGTAGGGCTTGGCATAAATTTAAAGCGTTACTTATTGTTCTGAATAAAAGCTCGGTATAACATTTAATCAAGGATATAGGAAACCTAGGCATCTATTTGAATGTGACGAACAATGACTAGAATATGCAAGGGTCTCAATGACAGATCTTATGATACAACGCTCACGCGCTAACCCCCGGTAATTTAATATCAAGATACCAAATATTCAGTACCAAGTTCTCATTTATTTTCCAGACGAGAAAATTAGGAAGATGCCATTTTACCTATTTATTTTTAAAATAATCTATTGAAATTCATGCGGACGGCAAGGAATGTGATAACATTGCATGGATTTTATCACAGAACTCCAATTTACGTTAATACCGTACTAAAAAGTGCAGTTGAACTAAAATTCTAGCATGTGATGCTCTATATTATTTAGTTCTTGTTAGTAGAACCGTGTTCATTCACGTATGACGATCGCAATCTGTAGAATCGTGTTCATTCACGTATGACGATGGTAAATCTTTACAATCTGTTGCGATATACACGACGCCACTATCAGCACACTAGACTATACATGTCACGGTTAGCAACTGGGTTTATAGCAACCCCCTCTTCACAATTCAATAGATTCAGCTCGGGAATCAGACACGAACAACAATAGGAATTAGTATGCTCGGCTATCTAACTATCTAACAAAAGACCGAATGCAGCTCTTGAAAACTTTCTATTCCCTAAACACGCCGATTTGACATCACGACACAACGTCATCTGCGAACGCCTATGATTGAAGCTCGAGTTTAGGATAAAAGACAGTATATATGAGTAGACGCGATAACCAGTCGATAGTGCGACAACTACCAGATACAGGGCACTCGTATCAGATCTGTTGAATAGAACATGGATATCAATCAGTTTGTCACCGTTATAGTTATAACAACGCTTTTATTAATAAGAAGTGTCCGATCACAGAAGCTCGCAGGTAATTTTATGTATTTGATGATTATTTTAAAGTGACATGTTTCGTAGTTAACCTGTCTGTTTGGCTAAAATATTTATTAATGTGGTATTTGTAGTTTTACGAGTCGTTTTAATTGGCTGAATGGACCCCCCCCCCTCTCCCCAACGATATGAACGAAAGTCATTTCGGAAATTAATCCGAATTTTATTTTTTTTATAAATATTTGTCAACAGTTAACACTGGCTTTCAATTGTTTATCCGCCAAAATGGATAATAGTACTTAAATAAAAATATGTTCATACTTTTTTCCGCCAACTGCAATATTTTATCTGCCAATAATGTGTGAAAACAATTACGAATCATAACAACTTACAAAGTCCTTCTTCACATAAGACACAAGCCCAGTTTTGGGATGATTTACTATCAGATTTTATTTTGGGTGTCTATTACTATTGGTGACGCTAGTCTTTTCGCACACCGTATTGAACAATCACGTTAACTCAAAATCCTTACTTATCCAGAATATGTAATTGATTCATTTTCCAATATTTGACATTCAAATTATTAAATCGATTAGGTATTTATGTGTTGGGTGGAGGACCAGACCAAAATATTTTAATATTCCTTTTTATCAAACCAATTGCTATTGTTTTATTCTATCGGCTACCAACTTTAAGTTTCTAAAAAAATCATTTTTAGACTCCCAGATTGTAAATATTTTATTGATTACAGATTACCTCGGTCGAACTAATGTGTAATTAATTAATTATCTTTAATCCTCATCTGAAAGAGAGTTTGATTAATAATTCATAACTGTTTAGTTAACATTTACAGAGTGGTTGTATTAACAATTGACAAATAGAAAACTAACTGAGCACCCAGGAAGATAATAATATAGATAAACGTCAAATATATAAAATCTCAAATTAAACTTTTTTAGGCCTACTTGTTAAGCTATGATAAACTATAAATTATTATAAAAGTGTAATTTATATGAATTATTTAGTATAATATGTAAGATTTAGCTAATGAGCGGGATGTTCTTGTTATGTTATGGCTAATGAAAAATGAATGAAGGTTTTTCAAATTACTTTATTCTGACCGAAGTTATCGCTGTTTGAAGTTTGGACACGTAACATTGCTACTCTAATAAACCTAGTCTCGGTTGACCACCAACATTGCTACTATAATTAAGCTAGTCTCGGTTGACCAGCAACATTGCTACTATAATAAACAAATCTAGATTTTCCAATTTAACGTTAAATTATTAATGATAGTCTTGTCCAAACTTAAAACACTGATAACTTCGGCAAGAAGAAAGTAATTTGACTATTACAAGAGGGCATGAGCATCAAAACCACCGCAACATTTTAAAGAGCGTAAAGAAAGGAATTTTCGCCTCCGTGCGGTTGCTATAGTTGGACGTACACGTTACTCACTTTTGATTTTTTAAAGTAATGCTATTAATGGTCTCCTTGTTGACTGGCACGTGTAGATAAAATATCAAGCCTACAATAATGCCAAAAGTAAAATTTCAATTTCATTAACTGTCAGCTAAGGCGTAGGTTATTCGCCATCCGAATGGCAAAGCGTAATTCGCCATTCGTTTTCATTATTTGACATTGTTTTGTTTTAAATCGATATTCTCTGTCCTATCATGATGTCTGGTCAGGGGCGGATTGGGCCATCGGGCGATCAGGCGAATAGCCGGTCGGACAAAAAACTGAAAAAAATAATTTTGTCCAATTCGTCTAAAAAACCATTTTCTGTTGATCATTATATGGGGGGGGGGGGGGTATTGGACCGGCCATGGAGCGATGATGATCATGTATGTGGCCGGTGGCTTTAACGAACCGCCACGCCATCACTGGAGTCTGGAATGGGCTGGTATAATAGACTTTCTGGGCCGGGTGTGCTGGGTGTGGGCCGGAATTCAGAATCCTGCATAATATGACGATATGATGATTTTACAGGTTGATGGTTGTAAATTACTTGCAGGGCGGGGTTTTGGCCTAAATTAATCGATTTATGAGATATACTATTTGACAGATTATAATCAGATATGCCACCAAATCGCATATTTGGGGTTCATTTTTCAAAATTTTCCCGGCGGAAAAGGGGTCGCTCCGACACGGGAGCCCGGGCCGGTTTCCGGCCCCAATCCACCCCTGTGTCTGGTCGATGGATAATGCTACCAAGCACTTAAAATAGTTTAACTTTGTCCTTCAAAATAAACAAACATCATTTTCGTTGCATTAAAAATGCGAAAATAGCTACAATAAACGGTGATGGACTCGGTGCCATTGGAAGGCTATTTACTACCCGAAAAGTACCATACTTTATGCCCTGTCTATGGAATTATAATTCTGATCTATTTGATGAAACAAGACGCTTATTATTGGCGTTTGCACCTGGTTAATCCAGCCTACAATCTGGGCCCAGTTGTTCAACTTGTGGTTAAATTTAACGATGTGGTTAAATAATTTAACGACATCGTTATATTTAACGACTGAAGAAGTCTGTTGTTCATCATGTCGTTAGATTTAACGCATGGTTATGTCATCTTTAAAATGGTCCATATTTAAACCACCTAGCAGGGCATCGTTAAATAATTAACCTGTCGTTAAATCAGTCAAGATGACTGCCAGACAAGTTCTCATGTCAAGTTTCCCACTTTAAATGAAATAAAACCGTTTAATATCCTACTGTTCTGCCCCGACTGTGCTAATAAAGACAGGCATACGCCATGCAGTGTGCTATGAGGGAAATTTTGCCCGGACAGCAGCGCTACGGCCTACTCTTATCTCGAATTCTAACTGCCAAGGGATCTTTTACGTGCATGCCAATGTGTACACAGGACCTTCCCAGGTCCTCCGTCCTACACACCGAAAAATCATGATGGACTTTCCTAGCAAACACCGGGAGCGAACCCGTGAGTCCCAGGCTAGCAAGCCAGCATCTAACTCACTGTGCCACTGTGGCTCCCGAAAAGAATGCATACAGGGGCACCTTTAATAAGTTCAAGTTCAAAAGATTCCTTCTGATTTATACATGCTTATAGAAAAGGTCATTTACCAATATATGTAATCTTTTTGACATTCACCTAAAAAACGCAACTAATAACCAAAGAAGTGAAGCAGTAAGTATTCATTGCAATGTGCTTTTATGCAAGTGGGTCCTTTCTCTAAATCAATGACATTGTCCACAAATAGCCCAGTTTCCACATTGCTAGGTAATCGTGGCCCAATGACATCCGAACGACTACATATGTAGTCGCTTTTAAAAAGAAAATAAACAGATTTCTTCAGCATAAATCAAAGTTCACAAAGATAAGTAATTAATAATTTACATGCATTAGGATTTATTGTCAATATTGATGGTTTGGTACATGAATATTTAGAACTTTTTGATCTTTTGTATAATATAACCTCTGCCTTCTGTAATTCTATGTTAGAATCATGTAACTTCTTTATGAAGGCTATAACGGTATGCAGTCAGTGTGTAAAGTTGGAAGTAGATCTTGGTTCACTTGAAGATAGGCCTAGATGTCATGATACGTCTATGTCCTTTAAATATATAACTCCGGGAACATCGTAGCACAAATCTGAAATTTCCGCGGTTCTCATTGATAGAAGAGTATGGTTGACTGGACAAAAACAACTGTTTCAACAAGACAAATAACCGCCTATAAATATTGGTGTCTAGGCATACATATTTTCATGGTCATGGATCTTCGCCACCTCAAAAAGTAGGCTAGAGTGACAAAAATCTTCAAGAAATTCTGCAAATGTCCATCACACTATTTTCAAATTTCATCTTATATGAAAACACATCCCCGAAACACATAAAACAGTAGAAAATCAGTCACAAATTAATTAAAACTATTTGTAGGCCTAGCTAATTAGGCACTGTCTATATATACACAATTTTGTTCCGTTTTTTTTTGGCAGCATCACTAACTAAGCAAATTTTACTAGTTTTTATCAAATTCTGACTACCACCTAATTAATAAAATCATTAGTGACAAGAAAGGACTTAATAAGATGAAAATATGATTATGGCAGCTGAAATACGCCTCATAATAATAGAGAATGCCAAAATTGACACATCATTATCTGTGTTTACATTCATCACAGGAGTCTGACCTTCTATCTGTATATATATGCATACACCATGTCCAACCAGACAATATATAATAAAAAAGAACAGGAATGCAATGCCTCTTTAAGACTCGATTTTACAAAATCAATCCGCGGTGAGTAGACCATTGAAACAAGTGCCAAAGATATTTTTAGTTTTTCTCTCCCTTTCCATTTTCCCCCTTTTGCATGGCGATTTTTGTTGACTTTTGGGTGTAGAATCGAAAAAGAGCGTTTGCATATACATTTTCTGCCAGGTATTGGTGAATATTCATCATTTTGAGGCGGAAGTATACAAGACTTCAGAGGTTGGTTAGCTTTTTGTGTGACGTCAGCGCATGGCGGCCGTGACAAAATGGAAACGGACGAAAGTAATGTAAATATTGGAAACAAGTGGCTATGATAACGTTTTGTGGGAGTATTTATGCAAATCAAAACGACTAGATTGAAGAAAAAACATATCTGAGTGAATCGACAGAGGTTTGATTGCCTGACATTACGAATTGTTGAAAAAAAACGAGCCGAAGCGAGAGCAGGTAAAATCGAGTCTTCAACAGGCATTGCATTCCTGTTCTTTTTTTATTGTATATTGTCTGGTTGGACATGGTGTATGCATATATATATATACGGATAGAAGGTCAGACTCCTGTGCATTCATTGACATCACGTAGCAACCACTGTCCACTGAGGCATCGCATAATTTTACAGGGCTTTTTGGTGGATGTAAGCCTCGAACAACTTTTGTCTGACCAGGAACTAATAAAAATAGTGTCAAAGGTCTGCAAATAAGACTTTAAAAAGCTAAAAAAAACAACTTACCACATTTTACAAGAGGGGAACTTTACAAGCGAAACAATTTTTGTTGTCAAGAGTTACCCTTCT